TCGAACCGCGGTCCCTGTGCTTTGCTTAGCTTGTTCCAAGTAGGTGCTTTAGACCACTGAGCCATCTCACCAGCCCCGATACATTACTTTTATAATCACCAATGAAATTTAGTATTATCCTATGGAAGATTAGCTAAAATATTATTTATTTCTTAGGGTTGATGGACATATTAATTATTTTGATTGTGGTAATAGTACACATTTATACAGGTATCAAAAGCTACCAAATAGTGCAGTTTAAAGATGTTTATTTTCTTTTTTTATTTTGAGACAGGGTCTTGCTGTATAATTCAGGCTGACCTTGAATTTACTATGTAGCCAAAGCTAGCCTTAAACTCTCAGCAGTACTCCTTTTTTTTTTCCATTTTTCATTAGGGAAGGGTCTATGGGATGTCCAGGATCTCACTACTAGATTGGACTCATAGTGATCTACCTGTTTATAGCCTCCCAAGAGCTGGGATTACAGGTGTGTGTCACGACATCCAGTCTCAATTGCTGTCTCAGCGCCCTAGGGGCGGGGCCGGCACGGCAGGCCCTGGGATCGACCCCTGACCCCTGCTGGCAGGTGCTTTAATCCGCTGAGCTATTCAGCCGGGCCTAGTACTCCTTTTTGTGTGTGTGTGTGTGTACTGGAGTTTGAACTCAGGACCCTGTGCTTGCCAGGCAGGTGCTTATTCTATTGAGCTATCTCCCCGGCCCTTTTTATCTTTTTTTGTTTGTTTGTTTTTTGTGCAAGCAGTAATCCTGCCTCAGCCTCCTGAGTGCTGGTATTACAGGTGTGTGCCATCAAGACCAGCAAATAAATGTTTCTAAAACTAACTCAATCAAATACATAATAAATAATTTGCTTTTCCAATGTAGTGAATCATTATCATTTTTATGTTGATTGGTACATTCTCTATTTTTATAAGGAAAAAAGTATGTAGAATATGATTCCAAAGAAAACATGATTTAAAGCCACAGCGCTGCTTATCTTTTAAACAAGAAGACCTCTAGCTCACTTAGTTCATATTTGATTATTTCCAAAGCTGTACGGCTATACATGAGAAAAGCCATGTGAGCTTGTACGCTGAACCTCCTAGTTTGCACTGTATTACTGGCATTACAGCTTTCTAGTGTGACACTGAAAGCAAAACTGAATACATGCAGTTTCCACCCTAAGGCGGCATGTCTTACCCCTGTCCATCAGCACATCATCAGTCATCCCAAATATGTTGAGCAGGATCTCTTGAAATGTACTACGATCTAGCCCAGTGTTATCATTTTTTTCCATGAAGCTGTGAAAAAGTTTTATAAGACACTCTACTTCACATTTTTTGACTGTGAAATGAAAAGAAATACAGCAAATTTAAGCACTAATTCAACCCAATTAAATACTTTACTAAGCAGCTATTTTGTCCCTATGATGCTAGGTGGTCTGGTGATACCAAATATGTATAATATAGACATAGTAAGAGTTTGCAGTTAAGGCAGGCCTAACTCAAGTCTTATAAGGCAATATAGATTAGCAGTTACTGTATAAGTAGTGTTTTCACGGTGTCATTTTTGGACCACCTATGAGACTCGAGTCTCTCCAGTAACCCATACTTGTTAAATATATAGATTCCCAGGATCTCCCACAAGTCTAAATCAGAATTGCTAATAGTCCTTCCAGGAATTAGCTTTAAAACAAGAGCTCATGGGCCGGCCAGATAGCTCAGCAGATTAAATCAACTGCAAGCAGGCACAGGGGCTGGGGGTTTGATCCCCAGGCCTGCCCTGCTGGTCCCACCCCTGGGGCATGCTGTGATGGCAATTGAGATGAGCATGTGGCGTAAGCCAGTAATCCCAGCTCTTGGGAGGCTGTAAACAGGTGGATCACTGCGAGTCCAATCTAGTAGTGAGATCCTGAACACCCTGTAGACCCTTCCTAATAAATACAGAAGAAAAAAAAAAAAAAAAAGACCAAGAAAACAAGAGCTCATTTTAATCTTATGGGTTCAGAATCTGAAGCCATTAAAGATTTTAGAACTGGAGACCATGACAATAAGAATGGTTTAGGAAAACCTGTCCAGTAAAATAGTACTGGAGGAAGAAAGCTGGAAGCAAGGCAGGAAGTAATAGGGCTTTGGCTAAGAAGGTGGAGATAAGGATAGAAAAGCTGGCAGGGGGCCTGCAGTACTGCAGAAAATCAGCAGGCTTTGTACCTGCCAGATCAGCAGTTTACAGATGATTCTGGCGCAGTGTCAGAACTGAGAACACAGGGTTACACTTAGTAGGCTGCAAACATCTGGTCTCCATTTTTTATCTTTTTTTTCTTTCTATTCTTGTATTTGATACAGGTGAAGCATGCGGTACCGGGGATTGAACCTTGGTCCCTGTGCTTGTCTAATCAGGCACTTAGTCTGCTGAGCTATCTCACCAGCCCCTTTTTGTATCATCTTAAATTGCTTCATTATGCCTTAGGGTTCTGACTTACAGAAACTGGGTATTGTCCTGGCTGATCACTAAGATTCCTCATTCTCTAAAAGTATTTTGTGAATCAAAGGTTACTGAAACAAACTAGGACAGTTAGGCATGAAAGCTGGTTGCTATTTTTTTTTGGGTTTTGTTTTCTCTTTCTCTTCTTCCTTCCTTTCTCCTTTTTATAGTGGAGGTGAGGAGAAAGAATTACCTGTTTTTGAGGTGATGCTCCCCAAGTGAAATCAAAGACAAACATGTAGCAAATATTCAGTTTACAACATTGAGAGTTGTTATGTGGTCAGAGAGTGATTTGGTTTTTAAGATAATGATTAGAAACCTATACCTATTAAGATAGTGATTATTAATTGCTAAATAAGCTATTACAAAGGTACCTAATAGTACTATCTTATGAACCAAATTAGATTCTCTGGTTTCTTGCTTAGTAAAATTTCATATTGTAGCAACGAAGTCCTGCATTAGGCTGTGAAGATTATTATGTATCTGTCATGATTCTTGTCTTCATGGCTAATATTCACTGATTAAGAGATAAACAGTCTTGCAGGTATAATCTGAGAACTAAGCTTTGTTGTGCCAGATGGCCGAATTGTTTGACTTTTCTGATAATCAGAGAACTTACTAAAAGTTTGGCTGGCAAGTTGCCAGATTTGTGTTTGAAGAAAATCATTTTGAAAGTAAATTCTTGAAGGTATTTATGATGAATTCCAATGTGGTGGTTTGAGGGCCAGGGAGATGGCTCAGTAGAATAAGCGCTTTCCTAGCAAGCACAAGGGTCTGAGTTCAATCTCTGATTCTGCCAAAAAAAAGCACGCCAGTATATCCAATGTGGCGGTTTGTATTTTTCTAGATGATCATAACAACTTAATCTCATCAGGCACACTCTTCTTACAGTGTGGCTCTTTAGAGATGGGAGTGTAGACCTCTTTATAACTACTGAGATTTTTACAATCATTTCAGTCAACAATGTTTTCATGCAGTTTGTAATGTTCATGTGTTCATTACCTTTGTGTCACTGTGACAAAATACTTAGGAAAATCAGTTTAAAAGGAGTTAAGATTCAGTTTGGCTCAGTTTCAGGGGGGGTCAGTCCATGGTATCTTGGCCCAATCACTTTGGATTTGATGGAACATTATGGCGGAAGCAGATAGTAGAAGAGGCTGCTCACTTCATAGCAGCCAGAAAAGTGAGGGGACGGGGTAAGGCCTTAAAATCCCGAGGACATGTCCCTAATGATTCTTCCAGGGAGGCCTCACTTCCTGATGAACCCCTCCCCCCCACTGCACTTCCAGGTGGGGACCACGCCTTCAACATAAGCGCTTCTGCAGCTCTTATGGGTAGCATAAGACCCAACGTATAGTAAACATCTCACATAACTACGGTACATTTGCCAAAGCCAGAATACTGTGGTAATATTGGTGCATTACTCTTTACTGTAGACTTTATTTGGATTCCAGTAGTTTATGCACTGATGTCCTTTTTGGTTGCTATTTTAGGATTCAGTCCAGGATTATCTAGTTGTCATGTCTCCTCCAATCCTGTGATAGCTTTGTTTTCTTGCTTTTCATGACTTTGACCATTTTGAGTTGATTTTGTGAAATATGTATCAATTTACTTTTTCTCATAATTAGACCATGGTTATGTGTTTGGGAGGCCACAGGGGTGATGTTCTCATCACATATCAGGTGATACACAATACATGGTGTTGAAGTGAGGATCACTGTGGGTGCTAACCATGATTCCCTGGTCAATCTACAGTGGGCCACATGGCCTCAATGAAGCTACTGTTTTTCCCTTTCCACAACTGTTGTTTTTGTGGTACTGGGGACTATAAATATTTGTCACCCATTTATAATTTTATTTGTGTGTGGGGGGCAGCTCAGCTCACCAGGGGGCGGGGCTGGCTGGCATGTGGTGCTGGGGGATTGAACCGCGGTCCCTGTGCTTTGCTAAGCTTGTTCTAAGTAAGTGTTCTGGATCACTGAGCCATCTCACCAGCCCCTCACCCATTTATAAATTGGAGTACTTGTCTGATTGAGAGAATTGAAATTGGAGGTACTATGAAATACAGTAAAGTAGGGTCACTTCTATGTGCCAAAATGCTATATCAAATAATATGAAATTATTAGGAATATTTTAAATTTCTTCAATTTATTTTTAATTTTTTTTAGCAGCAGAATATTTATTGGGGGAAAGAAAGTTTCTGTCCAAGAGGACAGAAGGGGGACCCAAGCAGGTTGCCTGGGAAGCTGTCTTTTCCAGCGATTTTATAGAGCAAAAACCATATGGTAAGGCAGGTCCAAGGTGGAAAACATGGGAACTTGCTTAGATGGGCATGAGCTGGAATAAAATTATGATCAACCAATGAGATTATAAGCACCATTGCTCAAGTGAACAATTATGAGCAGTGAATGAGCAAGATATATCAGTATTTGAAGCATGAAAATTTGTTACCTAAACAAGCCCCAATCCAGAGTCTATGAAAGAAAAAGCAAACTCATACCTCCACCCAGTGATCTTGGTGGATGACCTCCAATCTCCAAATGATATAAGGGACTGAAACTCCTGACCTAAAAGGTACCTGTGACAAGTTTGTGTTCTCTAAGACAAGAATGAATTTCAGGAACAAATGGAAATTAAGGGCAGAATATTTATTGGGGGAAAGAAAGCTTCTGTCCAAAAAAAAGAAAAAAGAAAGCTTCTGTCCAACAGAAGGGGACCCAAGTGTGTTGCCCTTAAGTTTCTTCAATTTATAGTCCATTTTCAGTGAACATTCTGCGTGCTTGGCTGCATTTTCAGAGATGTGTAATACATCTGGGGTGGTATTATATTTTCTTTTTGGCGGAACAGGCCCTTGCACTTGCCAGGGAAGCACCTATTCTACTGAGCCATCTCCCCGGCCTGGTATTATATTTTCAACACAAATCTTTTGGTGATTCTGACAGTACTGATCATCTGATGGCACATCTTTTAGAGCTTTCAGTGATGCCACCCATTTGTGGCATGTGTGCCATGGGTTTGCCCCTGGTATAGACACTCTTATCATACTTCCAGTAAGAGATACACTGCATAGCCACTATTACCTACACAACATGCATGCTCAGTGGATCGCAAGTTTAAGGCCAATGGGGGAAACTTATGAAGACTGTCTCAAAACTTTTTTACATGTCACATTCTTATCTGTTTCACTTTCAAAACCAAGCTACAAAGTATTCTTTTTACAGCTGATTCACATGAATGTTCAGCTCATCCCAAAACAAACCTGACAGGGACACATGAACTGCATATAGAGCAGGCCTACTGGATCTTTTATGCAGTTCAATATAGGAGGTGATAGACCAAGTGAGATAAATGAAGGTCCAGTTTGCATGCCTCCATTCCTCAGCCCTGTATCCTGATCCAGCGGCTGCCAAAACCAGAAGGAATTGAGTAGGGTACTTGGTCATGGGGAAAGTGGCTGTGGTTGGCCTGACAGGTGGGGGAAGAGAAATATTTCACTTCTTCACAATCTGAATGACATCCTTGTCCTCCAATGTATGGTCCTTACCCACTTTCTGAGGATTGTGTTTCACAGAGAGGCCTCAGACCCAAGCGTATTTAAATTCTTTGATAAGATTTTTGTGAATCTTCATGCAGAAATTCTCCACTGTGGTCCTGGAGTAAGGCAGCACCCCAGGAGATGTGTAATCTGGTAACTGCCCTTTGGGTTTGATATAGATTCTCACTAGTTTCAGGTAGTCCCAGATCTTCTCCAGTAAGCCATCAAAATTCCAGTGGTGATGGGCAAAGATGGGCAGTGTGGCACCTTATAGATGATGTCCAATTCCTCAATGGAGATCTGGTCAATCTTGTTTAACACAGATATAAGGGGTATACGCTCTTTCCAAACAATGGCTTTTTAATGCAGTGGGGAAGGAGGCAAACTTCTCTGGGTGTGTTGGCTTCATGGATGTATCAGTGCAAGCTGTGCATTCTCCCTAAGGTCCATGCTTCATTTAGTGTTGTACTATCACTGATGGCTTTTCTTTTTCTTCTTTTCCTAGTACAGCAAGTCCCCAGCTTACAAAAGAGTTCTATTCTGGGAGAACATTTGCACATTGGAGTAGTTTATAATTTGACGAAGTCAGCCTTATACAGTGTACCCAGGAAAGTTCGCAACTTGAATATGTCAGGGCTTATTGTCATGACTGGACTCATGACTTTTTGCAACCTGTACTTTTTTTTTTTGAGTCTTGCTAAATTGCCTAGGCTGGGCTTAAACTTGTTTCCCCTGCCTCAGCAGCCAGGAGTGCTGGGTGTTCCAGGCCTGCACCGTCACACTCAGTCAGCTCTGAACTGATACTGTTCCTTCAATATCTAGTTATCTTATACATTTTTATGAATGTCTATTTGTCAGTAGTATGGTTTTTTTGGCTGGCTCAGTCTGCCCCAAGGACAGGGTTGGCATGGCATGTGGTGTGGGGGATCCAAGGGACTAAGCAGGCATTTTACACCGCTGAGCTATCTCGCTGACCCTGTCAGTATGAGTTCTGTGCCAAAAAACATGAGGGAACTGGCTAAAGTAAAACCTTTATTATTCAAACTTTATTATGTCTCAATAAGACTAATGTATCTATCCTTGGTTGGAAAGTTAACTCTAAATTTGTCAGGTAATATCTCGATTTACTCTTCTCACATCACTAGAAACATTTCAGGATTTCTGATGGTTAAATCTATTTTCTCTGTAAGTGAATGTAATTGTTCAATTGCTGACATATTTTTTATTTTTTACTTTTTTTTGGTAGAACCGGGGATTGAACTCAGGCCCTTGCGCTTGCCAGGAAAGCACTTATTCCACTGAGCCATCTCCCCAGCCCCTGCTGACCTATTTTTTAAAAGGCCAAAATATCAGACAGAAATGGAAAACTCTTATTTTAGGGTGACATTAAGGTCTAATTAGGTCTCTCAACATTCCCAGAGTGGCACTGTTGGAAGTCTGATCATACTTACAGCTCTTGACAGTTTTACTGACAGATTCCACCAGTTTTCTCAGAGCCCCCTGATCCATGTTGAATGTGCCCGTAGCACACCAAGGACTTCCTACAGTCTAGCTCCAAGTCTGGATGTTCTGAGCAGCTCTAATTCCAGAGTTCACTATTCCAACCCAATATAGAATGTGACTATGGTAACAAAACAGAAGGTTTTCAAATAGTTGGAAAAATATGTAACAGTGGGTGCTACCACTCATAGGTATGCAGGAACTTAAGGTTACTGTAAGCTGAAACAGCAATTCCAATGTTTCCTATTTTTATGATTTATATTTCTTCAGGAAAAAGTAAAAATATTTGAATACATAGCAACTAAATTTAAGCTTATATTCCAGTTCCTTTAAAAGTTACAACCTTCTCTTAACTAAGCCTCTCTCAGGAGATCCAAAGAGGCTCCAGATGGAAGCTTGAACTCACTTTTATACCTGAAAGTTAGACCTGAATGGCAAGAGAACATAGTGACTATGCTGAAGCGGATCAAAATGTCACCTGTTCTAACTCTTCTGTGAAAGCCAGAAGAGAACAAACACATCTTCCAGGCTGTGTGTGCTGGCTTTTACTGTGTAAGTCAAGAAATTAATTACAACGTTTAAAATTTGGAATGCACTATTTTCATTTTTATTCTTGTGCCAGGGCTTTACAAGACAAGTTTTCTCTATCACTGAGCTACCTTAGGATGTAATACTCTTAGGAAAAGATAGTGTTTTGGGGGTGTTGGAAGCTAAAGCCAGGCCTTATGTTCTGCCACTGAACTACATCCTCACTCATTTTAGTGTTTCATAAAATGTGTAAGTGCATTTATGCATAAAATTTTTAAAACAAGTCAAAGACAAGTGTATAAGTGTGGGAGTTTTCCCAAAAACCTTCCTTACAAAATTGTTTAATATAAAGAAAATTAAGGGGGCTGGAGAGATGGCTCAGTGGTCTAAAGCACCTACTTGGAACAAGCTTGGCAAAGCACAGGGACCATGGTTCAATCCCCCAGCACCACATGCCAACCAGTCCCGCCCCCAGGTGGGCTGAGCTGGCCCCCCCCCACTAAATGAATAAATACATAATTAAAAAAAATAAAGAAAATTAAGGGATAGGTTTTTAGTATACCTTGATTAGAGAACTGTATTCTGTGTAAAATAAAATTAGATTACTCTATGGTACTTAAAACACCTAAATATAGTAAAGTTAACCAAAGGAATTTCAAGTGACCAAAAATGGTAGACTGGTACAAACCCATTTTCCTATTGAAAAACTTCTGAATTATCCCAGCACCAGTCCATATAGCATGTATTGACTAAAATTAAGATGAAGTTACTCAGGAAAGAAAGAGGCTTGGTAGAGGGAGATGTATTTATCAGTTGCACACTGTAATAAATATGGGATACCCAAAAGCTACAACTCTTGTTGCATAGGTCTTGCTTTATCTTGGTCTTAACCATCCAGCAGAAAAGTATAAAAACGAAGTATAGGAAGTAAAGCCATGCTGTTATGTTGAGTTGTAGGGGACTCAGGTCAACAATTTCTGACATTGCCAGTCAAGCAGAAGACCCAATACTATTATGGGCTACTGGACTTTTAGAATATTTTGCTGAGTTAACACACCTATAATATTCAAGTAACAGAACAAAAAAAGGGGATACAGATGAATGTCCATTTTGTATCTGTGTATTCAAAGGGTTAGCATAAATATATAGTTATATTCTCTTAATGAACAGAGGGATTTGTTCTAATAGTGTTTGTAAATAGGATATCATGTCTGTATCTTGTACAGCAATTAACCACTAGGAAGAATGTATGCAAAGTGTTAATTACTGAAACTGCCCTATCAATTTGGTCTGAAACTGTCTCATTGCTATTTGTTTCTCAATAAAATTATGGGGAAAAAATTAAAAATAAAAATAAATATGGGATAAATATAATTGATAGTACCCTGTCAAATATGCTTTTTATACCTTATTGAAGACTAGAAAATCACCACCGGAGGAATCATGAATAAAGGTATTTCCCAACGGTCAAGAATCTGAAAAAAATAAAACCTATTTCCATATCAACTTCTTCCCCTTTCCCTAATATAAAGAGCAGTTTCTTTTAGCAGAAGGTAAATGTCGTATCTCCAATCATTCTGTAAATTTATACTTCTACATTCACAGAAAAACATTAATGACCTAATGAACTCAGCATTTTAGCATGTCCATGAATAACAATTTAGAGCAACTTTCTAATGGGATGTAAAATTTTCCATGTACTAAATAGCACACAGGAGGGCCGGAGGGATAGCTCAGCAGACTAAGTGCCTACTTGGGTAAGCACAGGGACCAGATGTACTTACCCAATTCCCAGCACCATATGCCATGCCAGCCTTGCCCCTGGGTGTGCTGAGCTGGCCACCAAGACCCAGCATGGTGACACACAACCTGTAATCCCAGCACTAGGAAGGCTGAAAATAGGAGGATCACTACGAGTCCAAGCTGCATAGTAAGACTCTGTACCAAATACATTTAAAAAAAAGGCACACAGGTTTCCTTTATTAGTAAATAGTAGACAGCATTAAGTATACTACTTAAAGAAATGTCTCAAGAAATGTACTGTTCTTGCAGCTAAAAACTTAAGGATATATCTATTATATGTACTACTAAAAGCAAATAGTATTTGTTTTTATAGCTTTGTTGTGGCCTAAAGGGACATACGAACACAGCTATTTTTAAGTAAAATAGCTATTTATTCAGCTTCTTGTCATGCCAAAATGTTTGGTGCATATACCACTATAATTAGCACACCCTCTAATTATAGTGGTAACAGGCAAAATTGTACATCAAATTATGTCATATTACCTGATTATATAAAAATGTAAAATGAAAATGATTTATTAATTCCTCTTAACATTTCTAGTAATTCAGTAAGAGATAAGAGGCACAAAATCTTAGTAAAATATGACACAAGAGCAGTAATATGATTTTCACTTAAATTTAACTTGTCATAATTTGTTATGAATATACAAAGACAACAAACTTTTAAAACATTGTATTTACTAAGATTCTGGCAACAGTTTTATATAACAAGATACAGCATACCAGGCCTGCCACTCAACGTGTTTTTAAGTCTCAGCTTCAATATGAAGCTGTTTAAAACAAAAACTCAAAACCTGCTTTTTACATGCTAAATATCTTGGCAAGGGTGCCACTAAACATAGTAATGAACTTGAGACAGTACAAATAAAGAGTTAACAAAAGCTAAACATTGCAGCCTGAACAACATTCATACAAAAAAATAAAGTATCATTGGTTACATAAAATTTTCCTGACTGGTTAAAACTTAACAGTATAAAACATGCATTTTAGAATCTTTAGCTATTAAGTTCAAAAAGTACCAGTGTCTATATGAAACAATTCCTCTCCAAAGCTGAAGTACAGTCAAAAATTAATTCAAATGACATAACACATTCTAAAGCTAAAAAACATTCAGTTTTTGTTGATGTGGAGGTATAAACTCAGAGCTTTGGGGCTTTCTCACGCTGCAAGGGCTATTTCTCTGGTTCACTCAAAGCAGCAGATGACAAAGTCCACAGATGCCATTAAGCTCAATAAAGGGTAAGAGGGCTCGTACCCAGCTCTGACCTCCCAGGAAGCATGGCTACTGTGTCCACCAACGTAGGAGGTGTGAGGACCAAAGGCACACTATTCTGCTAGCTAAAGAGATAGCAAACCACCCCTCCCTCCACCCTAAAAGCTCCTTCCCGAAGTAAATAAAAAATATACAAGGGGGAAAAAATTAAGATACATTTATCTACAGAGTAAGGATTTCAAAATATTAATGTAATCCTTACTTTAAAAAATTTAACTAGAGTCATCTGGCCATTTCTGATTACATCTTAAGATGTATCCAGATTCATTTCTATTGATCACTAGATACTTCTAGTCAAAAATATTAGCTTTCTTCCCAAATATTTTAACCACGAGTGTGACTGCAGTGTGTTATCTCCGAGCTTATCACGCAGTGGAGGAGAAAAAGTAGATCTTCAAGCAGCAAGCAACAATTATGGCCCTTTTACATAGCGGCATTGGAGTGCCTATTGAATAGTCCAGAAATAATTCTAAGAACAAGAAAATCCATGCATGTTAGTAAATATATCGTAATTTCACAGTTGAAATTTCTTTAGACATTGCACTTTCTTCATAGGGACGTCCTGGTTTTTGTTAATGTTATGGTGACTCAGGACTTGAACTAGCAGCCTTCTTTTTCTTCTTCTTACTGTGTTTCTTATGCTTCTTTTTCTTTTTTGTTTTTTCCTGTAACAATAATTCCTTGTTAGAGATCACTACATGATCAAAACACAAATTAAAAACATCTTTCCTGGGCCAGCTAGATAGCTCAGCAGATTACAGCGCCTGCTTGGGCAGATGTAGGGACTGGGCTTGATCCCCAGTGTGTCATGCCGTGCTGGCCCCGGGGTGTGCTGAGAGTGCGACTTAGACTGGGTGTGGTGGCACACACCTGTTATACCAGCTCTTGGGAGGCTGCAAACAGGAGGATCATTACAAGTCCTATCTGGTGTAGTGAGACCCTGTACTAAATACATTAAAAAAACCCAAAAAACCTTTCCTGTGGTACTTCTAAACTACTTCAAATCTATGTAACTAAAGGAAACTACTCAGACATTTCTTGAAACATCTCAACAACAGTATCATGTAAGGACTGAGTTCTTACCACTTTTTATTTCAATTTATTTTTGGCACCAGGGATTGAACTCAGGACCTTTTGCTTACCAGGCAGGTGCTGTGTTGAGCTACATCCCTGGCCTCTTGCTGCTTTTCAAAACAGGGAAAACTTAAGTCACTGACACCTTACCACAGCGTCTAACAAAATTTCCTGCAGAAAATAAACTCAACTGAATCATGCCATCAATTACTATAATTTATGCCATTTAATTTTTGTTGTTTTTGAGACAGGGCCTTACTGTGTAGTTGGACTGGTCTTGAATTCACTATGTTACCCAGGCTGGCCTCTAACTTGCAGTGGTCCTCTTGCCTCAGCCTCCTGAGTTCTGGGGTTACCACATAAGGCTTCATGTTGCATAATTTTTAAAAAAAATTTATATATTATTTTTTTGCAGAACTGGGGATTGAACTCAGGCCCTTGCACTAGCGAGGGAAGCACTTATTCCACTGAGCCATCTCCCCAAACCCTGCATGTTGCATAATTTTTAAAGATAACTTCAGCTACTACAGATTACATCAGTTATGGTTTGTTATCATACCACAGCAAAGTAAATTATTCTGGTAAAATGAGTTTTGCTATTGTAAAGTTAAGTAGAAACATGTTATTGAAAAGTGTTTTGGTTAGGAAAACAACGATTTCAACAGAGAAATGCTACTGATGCTTAGGAAAAATATAGTTAAATTCTGAGTGAATTAAAAGCGAGCTAGAGTTCTGTCACTCTCCTGTTTCTACTAGAGAAGTGAAAGCAGAATTTCTAGAAAGATACTTGGGAAGGTGGCCGCAAACACAAGACTACTGTTCTCATGCAAGGACAAGAAAACAAAAAGCAAGAAATGAGACAACAGCAGAGCTTCCCATCCACTTCCTTATCAACTGGCACCATAAGAAACCACCCTCTCTCACAAGACCTCTACAGCTCTGTAGTGTTAATGACTTTCACTATTCTTTCTCAGTATATGCTTAACTACACAGGGCATTTTACAGAGCCCCAAACCTTAGCATTTGGCCAGTCATTTATTTGTTTCAGTGCTACAGGACTGAACCAGAGCTTCTTTCATGACAGGTTAAGTGCTCTACCACTAAGCTAAATCACTACTCTTACTGGGCTTTGAAAACTATGTGATCGGGCTGGGGAGATAGCTCAGTAGAATAAGTGCTTGCCTGGCAAGTGCAAGGTCGTGAGTTCAATTCCTGGTACCATAAAAGGAAGAAAAAAAAAGATAACTATGTGATCACTTTTTTCTTTCTTTTGTTTCATATGGGGTTTCACTATACAGATAAGATTCATAGTGATAGTTCCGTCTCAGGTGTGTGCCACCATGCCTGTTTTTGGGGCCAGCATGGCATACCCAGGGTTCTGGGGATGGTACACCATGCGATACTGGGCACTGAACTTAGGACCCTGTGCTTGCCAGGCAGGGGCTTACTCCTCCAAGCTATCTCGCTGGCCCCAATTCTTTTCTTTTTTTTTTTTTTTAATTTTTTTTTTAACATTTATTTATTGTGTGTGTGTGTGTGTGTGTGTGTGTGTGTGTGTGGCCAGCTCAGCCCACCAGGGGGCGCGGCTGGCTGGCATGTGGTGCTGGGGGATCGAACCACCGTCCCTATGCTTTTCCAAGCTTGTTCCAAATAGGTGCTTTAGACCACTGAGCCATCTCTCCAGCCCCCAATTCTTCTCTTAAAATACACATTTTTCTTCTATACCACCTCACCTTGCTGGTTTCCTTTCCTTGACCTTTCTCGGACTCCCTTCCCTTCTTTTCCAATACTTTCAGCCACATGAATTATACTCCATATAAGAATCAAAGATGCTCACATCTGTACATCAGCTTATGCTTTGAACTCTGCATTTTAAATGCCTTAAGATATACCCTAAGTGTCTAGTAAGCATATCTAAAATCTCTGTAACAAGCTGAAATTTTGTCTCTAATTCCTTTCTTAGGCATTTTAGTACATAAGACTTTGTCTTTCTTTTTTTTTTTTTAGGAAAGGGTCTACAGGGTGTTCAGGATCTCACTACTAGACTGGACCTATAGTGATCCACCTGCTTACAGCCTCCCAAGAGCTGGGATTACAGGCATGCTGTCACCACACCCAGTCTCAACTGCTGTTGCAGCTAGCCCTGGGGGTGGGGCCGGCACAGAAGGCCTGGGGATCAAACCCCAGCCCTTGTGCTTGCCTTGCAGATGCTTTAATCCACTGAGCTATTTTGGCAGGCCCTGACTTTGCCATTTTGCTTAACTCAAAGAGTGTAAGTTATTTCTGTTTCTGTTTTTTTTTTTTTTAAAGCCTTTATTTATGTATGTGTGTATGGGGGGGCCAGCTCAGCCCACTAGGGGCAGGGCTGGCTGGCATGTGGTGCTGGGGGATTGAACGGTGGTCCCTGTGCTTTGCTAAGCTTGTTCTAAGTAGGTGCTTTAGACCACTGAGCCATCTCACCAGCCCCTCTGTTTGTTTTAAAAACAAAAACAAAAACAAAAAAAAAACCAAAACTGCACTCTCAACATCTAAAGTACCTAGCAAGCCTAATACCATCTAGGTATAAAAACATTTTACATTCAGCCATCCCGTACCAAGCACTATGATATCATTCCTCCTGACTCCACTCATCACCTCTGTGAAAGCATGTTAAAAATGGCAAGTATTTGGGTCCCCTTTGTTAAAAATCCTCAAAGTTCCTCATGACACCCTGATTAAAACCCAACCACAATACACCTGATACAGTCTGGGCTCCTTCCAAGACCTTAGCATACACTGTTCCTCCTCAGACATCAGGTACAACCTCTGTCTGCCTTTCAGTTTCTCAAACACATCAAGCATTTCTCAGGGCACATCCTCAGCTCCTGGTCTCCCAGCCAAGGCTATTCTTTCTTTTTTTTTTTTTTTTGGTGGAACCGGGGATTGAACTCAGGCCCTTGCGCTTGCCAGGGAAGTGCTTATTCCACTGAGCCATCTCCCCGGCCCCAAGGCTATTCTTTCTTTAAGGCTTCATAATGCTTACAGATCAGGTTTTAGTTCAGTTTTACTTCCTTAGACAGCTCTGCTCTGCCTGCTCCACTGTGGTGCCTGGACAGAATTCGGGGCTGGTGTGTGCTGGGCAACACTGTGCCACTGAGCGCAGCTGGGACCCTCCAGAAGGATTCTCACAGACTCAGTCACTCTCCCACACACAGGCACAGTGGCATCCACCTTGTTCAGGAAGTACATGGAACTAACTACCCCAGTGCTGCTGGCTGGTGGGAGGTTCTGTTTACCTTATTCTGAATCACAGACCAGAGTATAGTAATCTCCACTCAAATTACTTCCCTCCTCAGAAAACCAATAAAAAACCAGTCAGTCTCCTGCCGCTTCGGTCTGCAGGCAGACACAGCACTATTCTGAGTCACAGGGTGAGTCCTCCTTCCCAACACAGGGTTTCCCCATCTGAGAACTTGGAAGAGCCCTCCTGATGTCGTCCTTGCCTCTCCCGGAGGACAAGTCTCCAAAGGCCACAGCCATCACACAACAGCCGGCCCTTACATTACCTGCTGGTGTGTAGGCATTGCTTTTTCAAAGCTTAATGACTTCTCTTTGTTGGCTTGCTTCTCACTTGAATATGGCTTCCATTTCTTAATTCTTTTGTTAATTATCAATTTGCATAATGGAGGAACTAGTTTTAAACACTATTAACAGAATACTTGGTATTCTTTCATTGCAGCCAGTGCTTTGAGAGTTTTTTCCTATTATTCTAGGTTTGCCTACCTGGGCTATATTTTATTACAGGTTAAAAACATCAACTAAAAGCTTGAGCTCTCATTTCTAACTGTAAGAACTTGGGATGGCCACAGCCACATCTGCTTCCAGAGTCGTCGTCTTTGCCCTGCACCAATCTGACTCTCCACTCAGTGAAGCTGTTTACCACAATGCTGTTCCCAACCGTTTATTTGGTCCCAGTGAGTTTAGCACAGCTCATTTTATAATAAACCGAAATGACTATGTCATCATGTAATAATGTAAGAGATACTTGCTGTTGCTTTTTCTCGTTCTTCACTGCTTTTCTTCTTTTTCGCTCGTACCTAAAAAGTGAAAATTTTTGTGAAGAAGATAAACATGTAATTTGTTTTTACTTTTATTGTCAGGTTTTTTTGCTGTACCAGGGATTGAACTTGGGATCTTGCACTTGCCGGGCAGGCGCTTATGCCACTGAGTTATATCCCCGGCTAAACATGTTATTTGTCTCAGCTAAACATGTAATTTGTACTCAATGAATTTTTTTGTGATTCTCTACAATTGTACCTTCTGTCTTCAAAAGTTACATGTACAATCATTTTTTTTTTTTTTTGTACAATCATTCGGACAACCAAATCACACACTATATATGAGATTTTGATGAAAAGGGCATAAAAAAAAGTAAAGACTCTTATAGCTTTAGTGGGCTTCTTATAG